TAATGCTCAACTGTTACGTAAATATCAAGAGAGGTTAACAATATTTGTAATAACAATCACAAGACCAATTTATAGAAATGACCTCTCTCAAGGAAGTACATTTATCTTATAAACAGCCCATATGTAAAAGGTTATTAAATGATACATGTTAGTGGTAAAGAGTTAAAGAAAAATTGTAGCATGTATGCATAAAAGTAACTACAGTAAATGCGTGTCAATAAATACAAACTTGTTTCAAGAAGGTATAACTCAGAGGATGTTTTGCAGTAAGTTTTACAAATCTAAACTGTGTGGTTGTACCATATCAAGTCTTTTAAACAAGTGATGTTTTTCAGAAATCTTCTACAAAACCCTACAATAGATGGGAAGCATGGTAGCATGCACTAAGCCTCATCCACATGATCAGCAGTGTTTGCACCAACAACGTATGGTCTGCAAGGCACTCTTGCATTGCTGACCACAGCATCCAAAGTCAGGAAAGAGCAAGGTGACCATCAGGGGTTGCAATTCAATGAGCATGGTGTACAAAGGCAAAGATCTCAATTTAAATTGGTAAAGTGACTTCCAGTGGGCAGCAAGCTAAAGATGTTCAATAATTACTTTGGCTAAAATGCAAACTACCACCACCATATCCTAAGTGGGTTATTGTTGACAGAGCCCTTACACTACTAGTCACTATTTGGTTACCTAGCCTCAGCATGGCCACGCATATAGTTTGCCAGTGTGTCAACAGACAACCTAGCTTTTGCCTGCAACCACTGCTCCATCACGTAACTAAGCCTTCGCAAGTTACAGCACCCATTTAAGTGTACTGTATTTCTCTTGCATGTTTGACTAGTGGGCCTTGTGGGTATATACTTCCACCATGCATAAATCTGTAGGGACAGCCCTGTTTCTGCAAAATGTCATGCACTTTTAAAGATTCAGAAGCTAATTTTGAAATTTGCTTTGGCCCCAATTTTATCAAATAGCTAGCAAGACCCAATATACCTTTAAAGCAAGATTTTCATGCTGCAGACTGCTTTTGCTTACTTCATGCAATCATGAGTAAATAAAAATTTATGCAATTAAGTCTTAAATTCTATGAAGTACACAGTACTTATGACTATGCAATGGCTTTCACCATGTATGGTATTTTATTTAAAAAACAGTACCTTAAATGCCTTTTTATATTGCCAAGTACATTAACAGGTACTCTGACAGTTACATCAATGTTTGAAAAAATTCACGTGAGATACAAGATGGATGTGTACTGCATGTAGTCAAAAGGCTACAAGTCTTTAGCAAGGCAGGTATTTGACATGATGCACTTTTTCCCTTGCATTGGGTACAATAATTCTTATCAACAAAAGTAGAATATTCCTCAATTTCTGGTTGATACATGAAAGACGTGGTTCAACTGTCTTCTCTAAGCGCAGGTCTGGTCATAAGAGGCTATCTAGGCCGAATCGGTACTTTTGGTGCAAAATCTTGGGGCTGAGGGAAGCCAGCAATAACACAAACGAGGGTTTTTTTTTTTTCCTTGGGTATCTCCGGGCTTCCCAAGGTACAATTTCAAATTGTCTGAGTAGCTTAATGAAATTATCAATATCCATAAAGACAAGTTAAATTTAGAGATTATATAAACAGGATTAATAATCAGTTTATTACCAAACAAAAACAAGAATTGGCTAATATGAAACGGTCTAAACTCGCATTCGAGTGTCCGACTAGCATCAATAATTTTGAATTTGCAAATCAGTTTCAATGTTTCTTCAAAAAAAATATACACTTCACGAAAAACGAAACTATGGTGAAACAGGGGATAACTCCTCGTGCTCTATGTTGCTCAAACGAGAAATACTATACAAAGTTATTTAAGCAAGAAGTGTGTGTAGTCTACTGCTGTGGGGCTTTTTGCAGTTAAACAACATTTGGCTAGGAACTGACAAGTCAGGCCCTAGATTTAAACAAGATCAGTTGAACCATGCCTTTTAACAGCAATATATATTTTATATTTTACCATTTGCATTCATTTAGGAATGAATTTCAACAAATCAAAAACAATATGTAATTTAACTTTAATGAAAAATTTACAAACAGTTTACACGATAAAATAGCTCTCCATAACAATTTTTATACATTTAAGTCTTGGGCATTAGATGAATAATGAAAAAATACTTGTTTTGAAAATGTAAACATTAACCTTTCACAAACCCATGACTTTAAATACAAATTTTTGGTTTATAATTTGGCCAAGGATATATTTCAAAACCACTCTTGCCAATGATCCATGTGGTTACTCCAGATATATATACATTTTCAATAAATGGCTTAAATAAAAACAGTTCATGATGTAGATTTTTCATTAGAGCTTCCTTAAATCTTGATCACTGGAATGTAGTGACTACCATTCACAACAATTCTGCTGGACACCACTTCTTACAATGCAGGCAGCATTTGAGGCCACTGCTCAATGTTGCATAAATTAATAATCTGCCATATAATTCCTTTGAAAAAAAAAAAAAAAAAAAAAAATCTTTACATACACCCCCTTTGGCATGCATGCAAAGGCAATCACTAATTGGACAGGACAGACACCAATTGAAACATTCAAAAATATAAAATTATATATATATAAAAAAAAGTTAAATGAAGCCACCCTAAAACACCTAGCATACAAGTACTATACCAAAAACATCAACAGCCATTTCAGCCTAAATATTAGGTTTAGGTATCCATTAACAGCTGGATAAAAAAGTTGAAAGCCAAGAGATGCATTACACAATTTGATTTCAACTTGCCAAATGATAAGTAGCCAAATTTGAGAAGCACCAAAAAGCCAACCTTTAACAGAATTCCTGTTCTTCATTCTGAATAAAATCCAGGTCTTTTGGATCATCCAGCCACTGTCAATAACTCCCCAAATAAACTTGCCTCGAGTTATTACAGATTTTCAAAGGAAATGGCTATTAATGTAAATTATCAAATCAGATCTACGCTGAATAACAAATTAACAAAAATCATTAAGGGCAGCATTTTCACCTGGAATGACATACAAAAAAGTTCACTTGCATCAATCGCACACCATTCACACTTTCCAAAGAACTTCCGTAAATATTCCTTTAAGAATTTTGTGGGAAATATAGAGCTCTCAATTATGTACATGGGAGGTCAAATCATTTTGACAAAAGAAAATTGTAGGCTGTGTATCAATAATCTTCTAGTACCCCTTTTATACGCATGTCCCCTATTTTCCCCATTTACGAAGAAGGCTGGATCAGATGTATAAACATTGCAGAAAGTCCTTGACTGTCCCTCCAAGGGGTATTGAAAGTTGCTACTGTGTCGAGTTGTCCCAGGTCGAGGTTCTTGAGTTCTTTCTTTTCCCTCCCACTCCCACCCCAACCCAGCCCCCCCTCCCCCCTCTTACAGACTGACTTCTAAGGCAGCTACCACAACCTTCACTAACTATTCCCAGGTCATCAAAGTTGCAATTTAGAAAATAATTGTTGACCATTTCTACATAATTGAAAATGGAAAAAAATCTGGTAATAATCCAATTGATGTCCAGATTTCACAGTAGCATAACAGACCATTTTAATATCTTTCATAAATTTGATCAAGATCACAAAGGTGCAAATTTAGCTGAGCTACAGCTATGCAACTTTAAGAAACATTGATAAAGAGAAAATTTACATCTTAACTATCACAGTAACAAATTAATCTTACTCCAAATTATACAATTCAATTTCTTGACAATTCAGTTTGTCACATTTCTAATAGCTGTACAGTATCAATATGTAATCAAATTAACCTACATTTAACAAAATATCCTAAACTGACTGATATGCAGCAGATCGTCGGCGGCGTCCTACAAGGTAAGCAATCAAGACTATAACAACCAGGCCAGCCAGGGCACAGCCCACAGCAATCGGTACAACATCGGAGGTGTTATCAGCCGTGCAGTGAACAGCTAGAATAAAGAAAAAATTATATAAATAATGGTTACAAACAGCCATACCACAAAATATTGACATGTCTCTCAATTTTCAAGTATGCAAATACTGGTCTCAACCTTCTGAAGCAATACTTACAATCAACAAAGTCCCTTTCTCCAATGATTTCATTGTAGGCTTGAATCTGGATGTTAGTCAAGTCAGATCCCAGAGGAAGATCGTATTCTGCACCATCTAGACTTCCAGTCACGTTGAAAGCAGACAGATGTGAATGGCAGTTGAAGCTACGGTTGACACCAATTTCAAGAGGACTGAAGTTGTAGTTCATCACAAGATCCAACTTTTCACCTGCAAAAGCAGCTTCAGTTAATATTTGTGCCCCTTACAAATCCTTGTGCCCATAAAGTATTTTCAATAACATTCTGCAATCTGAACTTCAGACATCAGATTACTAAACTTCAAGAAAATCTCAACTTTCAACTACAGTAGTCTACCATCAACATCCATCTTTGGTAATTTCCATCTTTAGGCTCCTAGCAAATTCACATGAAACAAGGTTGACATGCAATATACGAATAGTATCAATGCCCATTTGTAGCCTATAGATCAATTTACATTCAGCAATAACTTCATTAATAACCTGTGTAACATGTTATTAAGTGTGGCATTAAATGACTAAAATGTTACAGGCTACAACTTTACAAGCTGATATTTCAGATAAAGAGCACACAAGATCATAGTAGACCACCACCATTATGAGTCAAAAACTTTACAAACTAAGAGGCCCACAAACATAGCAAAAATTTTGATTAACTAGAACTGAAAATGTTACATTCTCATGACATTCATAGTGGTAGCATCTCTTACTGTTTGGTGGCCCCATAAAATTTATGGGTCTATTATGCAATGGACCTATAAGAAATTTGACTTCCACAGAACACTAAGGTGCAACTAATTACCGGAATTTGCATAAATAGCAAAGGTAACCTAACCAAAGCTGCAGAAATCTTTAAAAATTAATTTGTTAACCGACTGATGCACATCAATATTACTGTACAGTAATTCAGGCGAACAAGCCAAGCCATGCTAATAAAAATATCAATATCAATAATTAACAGAAAACAACTTCTCTGCATTCATGTTTAGGGCCACTTAAGTAAGTTATACATAAAAAATCTTTGAATGGTTTCCAACTTTATACTTCATGATGGTCCAGTAACTCAAAAAAAATCCTGCACCCTAAGTGTACAAAGCTTTAGTGCATACACAACAAAAGTGCTTTTGCAAAGTACATGCCTTTGTTTACATTTGAATGCACAACATTAACAACCATGTTGTATTTGACAATTTCAAATCAAAGTTCACAATAACTTGATTAAGAAATCACCTGATGCTTCATGAGATGTCCAGCTAGTAAAATCCCCTTCAGTATATTCCCTAAGTCTTTAGTTAGAGTCAGGCTAGGTAGTGTGATTAACTCCAAGTTCTCATAAAAAATAATCATGTTACCTTAGCATTTTCTGAAGACTACTGCGGAAAAATCTTTTGTATAGATTCAAGCAGTTTATTTAGGTGCAAGATTTTTCAATAATGAGATTACAGCACCTAACTGAAGTTATTGTTTGCCGTTTTACTTCACTACCAATAAAAATTTAATGAAGCATCTTTATTACAAAAGGCACACCTTCATTACAATACCAATTGTATACATGAAAAGCTCTGATACACTTACCATAAACAGTTGCATTTACAAAGTTCTTGCCCATAAAGACAGTAGCTGTAAAATCGATCAACGACCATGTGTCCTTTGTCCTGTTGAAGGTCATTCTGGTTGAAGAGGTTTCATTCACAGGACCCCAGGTGATCTCAATGTACTGTTCGCCTTCAGTTCCATTGCAGCTGCCAGTCACAGCTGCTCCATGCTCTGGGACAGTAACTGTGACCACTTCAGTTTTCTGAAAAGTTCGACAAACATTGGTAATGGAAAATTGGTTAAACAAGGAAATATATTAAGAGGTCACAATAAATTCTTGCATCACAAAGCTGTATACAAAACTGTCAAACTTACAAACACAGGGTTTACAGCATGAAACTTACATTGGCTTTTGCAGTGTAATTAACTGTAAAGGAGATGGTTCCCTGTACCATAACACAGGTGACATTATTCTCTGTAATGTTATAGTTGAAGTTGGTATCAGGAGCCGAGGTGGTTACAGGCTCTGGGGTCGTCGTCGTGGGTTCTGGGGTTGTAGTTGGTTCAGGAGTGGTGGTGTTAGTAGGTTCTGGTGTAGTAGTAGTGGGTTCAGGTGTGGTGGTGGTGGTAGGTTCTGGTGTAGTAGTAGTGGGCTCAGGTGTGGTGGTGGTGGTGGTAGTGGGCTCAGGTGTGGTGGTGGTGGTAGTGGTAGTGGGCTCAGGTGTGGTGGTGGTCGCTTCAGGAGTGGTCGTACTCTTTGCCGTTGTGGTAGCTGGTGGTGTGGTGGGTGGTGCAAGTGTGGTGTTAGTTTTGTCACCATCTTCAATTAATCCATTTTCCACATCTGGGATACCGATGTCTTGGCTAGCAGCTAGGGTACCTGAGAAGTGGATGCAAGTGTTATTTTAAACTATTGAGGACAAAAACATTCTTTACAGTTCTCCAAACATGAAACTAACCCAATGAGCCAGAGAAGAACTTCAAAAAGGCATCTTACATAAAAATGCATTATCAAATAACCATTCTCTGGGTATTACACCAGTGCATATAATGCCTTCAAAGGTCACTGACAAACCTGCTACAAACTTATCTTATAAACTAAATTGTGCATGATTAGTAAATTTTAAAACTTAATTGGCAGTAATCTAGGCAAACCTTGCACTAAAACAATCTATATGTTAATAATCTTACTAAAATTTAAGGCCAATACAGATTCTAAGAAAATGAGAAATAGAAAAATTCATATGAATATACATACAAATATATGAAAATATCCATAATATTAATTCTTAATAAAATTAGAAAGTACAGTACCAAGCCCCCATATGGATTCAGAGAAATTTTATACAAGTTATCAAACTATTGACAATACTTAGGCTATTGGTAACCACCCTCATCCAAGACCCACTAGAGGTTCTAAGAAACATTAACACAAGCAGGTTAAGTTAAACTTTCAAGCACTTTTTGCCTTAAACAATAGCCTGCACTGATGTTACTGGGTACCATAAAGGTTAGGAAGAAATACATTAAATTTCACAATTCAGTCCTTTGGCACTGCAGGGATGACTGGTACGCAGCAAGAGATGTCAGGCAGGTTACAACTAAAACCCCTGCCCCCCCTATACATTTTATTCTTGTTGGCACAAACAAGCTGAACAATGTATACATGGCCTACCTTACCAAACACACATGTAATTTGACCTATCATAAGGGGGTTAATAGGACATCTCAATTCAAGCTCTTTCTTAACCACAGTAAATAAACATGTAATATCAACTTTGATTTTAGTTTGTTTACATATAGAAGACTCCACAAGAACTAAGTACATTTCACACTGGCAGTTACTAGCCCTACCTGACCATACCAGTTCCAAAATACTTTTTCATTGCTATTAGTATTATTAGTATTATAATTACCATTACTGTTGCCCTCCCAGCCTCAACACATTACTATCACCTATACCCACTTCCAAACACGGTTTCAATTAAATAGGGATAAAATCAGTAATCAACTGAGAATCAGATTCTTCAATCATCTAACATCTTGGTATGTAGATGTACTCCATGCAGAAAATTCTGTATTTAAGTCAATCTTAAGGTGCGCACATTTCCAGACTAACTCTTCTTTAAGTCCGTATTTATATATAAACTCCTTAATAGATTTGAAGCAGTAACCCATTCTATACCTTCCACCTTCATGTGCATGCTTAAACTATACTCCAATTGGGTTTAAAGTAATAAAGTATAGTTATGACAGACTGCAGTGAATTTATAATACCATGGTTGTGCCAAACCTTTGAAGTCAGTGACACCAAGATGATACAACATACATGCTATGTCCATTTTGATTTTTTTTTTTTTTTTTTTTTTTCTCTCTTTTTTCTTGCTTACACAGATGGCTCCACAACAGCTTAGTCAACAGTCAATTACTAGTCCTACCTGATCAACTATGTACCCTATTAAGTGCTTAGACTTTTTTCATCTCAACTTGCTAGAAGTATTTATACAATCCCAATATAAAAGTCATGATATTACCATCAAGAAAAAAGGGGATACAAGTGGTTAAGGTAGGCCTACAAATTGACATGTCAAAGCACTTGTATATGCTAAAATATCAATTACACAGGGCTGATGGGTTAATATTCGAATGGCTAAATGTATAGCTACGCAGCAAAATATTAGAAAATCATGCTAATCAACGAGATGGACGTTACTTTTTAAAATTAATAGTTGTTAATGCTACTAAACGGTTAGTCTCCCTCATTTTCCAAAAACTTGCAGGAATAAAATCATCTAGGTGAATCCATACGAATTCTGGAACAATTGAGATCAATAAGGAGAAATTTGTAACCCAAATACCAACCCTTCCATCACCATAGATTCAATCAAAAATAACCTTATAGCCTTGAAGATATTCAATTAATAATCACTTTTCATTAAATACACTTCACAAATCAATAATAATGAAGTTATTTAATTATCAAAATAAATAAATAAAAGGAGGGGAGATTCATACGAGAGCTGAGGAATTACTGAGCAAATTCTCCATTGCGCATGCACGGACCGTACTGTTTCCGTTATCTCAAGTTATCTGTATACAATATTAACTTTCATTCCATACTACAAATGTATAGTAAGGGGCATTATCTGAACTTTAAAACTTATTAAAGCTTATAGCTAGAGTCAACCACATATGCTTTCCGAAGGCCTAAAACAGCAATTCAAACTTTGGATGTTCAGTGCTTGGGTTGTACGTATCTCATTTTATGGACTTCTGTTTTGAGGATATCAGGATTTTATAGCTTGTGAACAAACGTTAGATATTCCTCATCTAACTGCAATTGAATAGCTTCCAAAGATGGAGAAAAACCTTCTATTTCAACTTTTAGAAATTTACTTCACAGCTCTTAAAATACAATTACAAACTAATACTGATACAAAAAAACCTTCTGCGATCCAAACAAGTGTGTTCGATCCTAAACCACTAAGCTAGCTATAACTTGTGATGGAAGGCCTACAATTTGAAGTTAAATAAGCTGAGTCTAGTAAGGGTTCAGCTTTTCGGTCCATCCTACCGTATACATTCAGGCAAGATTGAATTTGGATTGGTTTCTTATCAAATATAACACCGTCAGAGGTCCACTAGTTCCATGCACAGCAACATCAATAAAGGTGTGCGCGCGTGTGTGTGCAGATGGACATGCATGCACATTATAGCATTACCATTCCTGTCTACAAATTTAATGTACCAACAAATGATTTTTTTTTGGCCACTACAAGATTCTTTAATTTGCCCTTATGGTTTCCACACGTTCACATTAAAACCTTCCTAAACCAAGGGCTTTACCACCCTTGAGCCCCAACCAGTTACAGCATTTCCCCAACTTGAAACATTTCCTAGGCCATTTTTTATATCCTAGCTGGTGCTAGGATGGAAAAGACTTGACAGTGACACCATATATCTAAAGCTAATAAATTTGGAACAGTTGTGCCAAGAGCTTTGACACAAATTAAGCCTGCAACATCTTTTGAAAAGGGAATCTTATTACTAGTGACCTAACCACAAGCAAAAATTCAAAAACAGTTTAGGTGCTTACACAAAACCCCAGAGATATGTCTTCAGAAGTGCAACATGCAAGGATGCGACTATTAGAATTAGTTTTCCACACTGATTCTTCTTTTATTCACCATAAAAAAAGAAAAACTCATGTTAAAATCTTAATATAATAGCATTTCATAGAGGTAGTTTCAGTTTCATATAGCCTTATGGTAAAAGGTACACTGCCTGTAGACATTGTGAAGAACAAAAACAAGATTTTTCATCTTTTTCATCTATATTTCCCTTTCAAGTTCCTAAGAAGTAGTTATTT